TATTTAAGACCACAAGATTCAAGGGCATCTTGGTACATTACACACATCTTTAGTTTAAGACTGCAAGATCTAGAAGTTTTCCTGACTTAAGCTCCGAGCTAAGTCAAACTAAGGCACATAAATAGAAACAGAGGGAGCATTTGATAAGTTAATGTACGATTATTTTGGGATGGCAATCAAGATGAATGCGCTTTACATTAGCCCCAACGAAAATATGGAATGCCTATAACATAACAAACCCTGTGATACGTAACTTTGCCGTTTTAAAAAATGGGCCAAGATAGAAGCCTAAATGACGCAACAACAGATTTCTTTACTCTTAAGTGCTAAATTTGAATTTAAAAGAAGAACCCCTTCTCTTCAAATTGGGATCGCCCGTAAACTTTGCTCTGCTTTCTAATACTAACCTGCCATAGTCTCTTCCTGCCACATCAATCTATAGGCCCTTATATACCAGTGAACATTCAAATGCTGTAGAATAGGACTCTCTTATTCAGCTCAACAGGATCCCTCTTGATATCCATATTGCTTTCTTGATAGAAAAAAATTACGTTGTTAAAACTAAACCTTATTATAACACTTATAGTTATTTTCCCTGAGTTTTCTTCATGGAAGGAAAAGATTCTACTTTTTGCTGTCACAAATTGCCAGTTGTTGATTATCAGTTGGATATCTATTTCTATCCTTTAGTTTTTTCCCTTTTGTCGATAATATTTACTCATCTACTCCTTAATGGACTCGTTCTCTCCATGTGCCCTACTCCAGCAATAGATAAGCTATTATTTAATGCATCAACTTGGTGCACTAAGCTCTCGCTAAAGAAGGACCAGACCACATTGGATCTTTTCTACAGTCTTACCTTGCTATTCTGTAAGCGACTGTTTTCATGGCTTGAAAGTCTTCTCGTTGTGCCTAGTTTCCCTCCTGTTTACTGCACCAACATGTGGCAAAAAAGTTTTCCAGCATTAAAACATTGTACTTTTCTTTATTGTAGTTTACAAGCCTATTTGTCTATGCATATCCTGATTTGTTTTTGGATGCATTGGAAATCAGGTATATAGGCGTTATAACTGGCTTAGTTATTGTATAGTAATCGGGAATTTTTTTAACTGGTTTAAGCATTAACACCATGTTTTTATTGTTGACTGGCTTAATCATTTTATACTAATAGGAAATACAGTGTAATACTTGTACATGTTCTTTTTTCATTTAACTGCATAAACACACGCAGGCAGACACGCATGCACATGTGCACACATACACATGGACCTAGGTTATAGATGATAAGAATTCTTGAAGTTTTACAATGTGTTGATTTGCCTACAGCATAATAGATTGTCTCAATAATTCAGGTTGGAGCATTCATCGTGTCAATTGAATTCTCTTGCTAAGAAGACCAATTCACTTAGAAGAACAGTGCTATTGTACCGACAGAAGCTTGAAAAAAGATGTTCAGACCTTCAAAAGGCCGAGGCTGAGGTAATGACCTGCATTTATTAGGCATAGGAATATAATCAGTTGGAGTATGTTAATCTACATGCAGCCTCCAAACTAATTGAGAGATGGTTGACTTAGGTTAATTGAAAACCTAACTCTCGTTATGATCCATGCTAAAGTTATCTAATTATAAAGAGACAAAATAAGCAATTGATAGTATGGACATCAAATGAATTTTCCATTTACATCGATTTCTATTTATTTACAAGCTATAGAACAACAACTACATCTCATTCCCAAACTAATTGGTCGGCTATTTGAATCATCTATAATCATGCCATTTCATTTGGATAGCTATGAAGATATAAAATTACCTATTAAAAATTGTATTGGTCCTGTATATTTTTTTTGGTTTTGCATGTTCATAATAGTTCTTTTTTATCAAAGCATTTTCATAGTTGCTAACTCTGCAATGACTTCAAGTGTAAGTTACAAGCTTACTACATAAGTAAAAACATCCTTTGATATATCCATGCTTCTATAGTTGCCTGATATATTTTAAATTCAATATTCAGGTTGATCTTTTGGGAGATGAGGTAGATACACTTCTGCGACTACTTGAAAAGATATACATCGCACTTGATCACTACTCACCAGTTTTGCAGCATTATCCTGGAGTAAGTCAAATCTTCTGCTCAAAGAAATCTTAATTAACTTTCCCCTTCAATATAAGTGTTTTTGGGTTCTTTTGATTTAACTTCGAGCAAGTAAACCTGTTCAAGTATTGTCTCTAAGGTTGCAAATACTAAAAATAATTCTATTGAGGCTGCTAGATTTAGGAACTGGCCTTTGCATCTGAAGACAGAATTTTTCTTGGCACCAAGTTTTGAAGGACAAATTAAAGGGAGAAATTAAGAAAAAACAACACCAGAGTATATAGTAGTTATCATGTGGGGACTATCAGTAACTGCGGTTGAAATGGCAAGTGGGATAAAAGACTTTTTCCTGCTGCTGGTGAACAAATTCCAGGGGTTGGGTGGAGGATTGGGCATTTAGGTGTGTGGGGGGGGGGGGGAGGGGGAGGGGGGTGTGTTTGACGAGTTGCAGTTTCCCCTGAAGCTTGTATTGTAAGAGGTAACATTGTATCTTTTTACATATCTCTTTTATTCAAATGCAGATTATTGAAATTCTTAAGCTGATAAGGAAGGAGTTAAGGGGAGATTCTGCTAAACCAGTGAAGTAATCTCCTATATAAGGTAATTTTCTTTTGCTAGTGGTTAAAATTTTATATGGTGGTCTTGGAGCTTGGAAGCAGTATAATATTGCTCGGTTGCTATCAGTTAGAGCACCAGAATACTGGAGTGTGAAATGTCTATGCAAAAGAGTACATATTACTATATTAGTACTTTTGTTTTCTGGATAGTTATTGCTTTCATCTTTCGAACATAAGGAAAAAGGAAACAACTATTGTTGAGTTATGTGCTACTTGTTATATTTGCTGTAGCTTCACCATTAGTCAAGCTTCACCCCAATATATTGGTAAGAATTGTTGAGTTATGCTACTTGTTATGTCTACATTAGCTTCAACATTAGTCAAGCGTCACCCTACCTTTTGGTAAGAAAAGGAAAAAATGAATCTTAGTTAAATAACTGCCCTCCAATTACAATAATTTTGGGAAAATGACACTGTATAGTATCAAAATAATAGCCGAAAAAATATATATTTTTTTGTATATATATACATTCTGTATGTTATATAAAAAAATTATACAAATTTTATACACTTTTTCGGCTACCGAATGTAAATAGTATTTGGCGCGGGCTAAAAGTGATAATACCCTTGGCACTTCTTTTTGATAGTATATGCTCCATTCATCACTGATTAGGGAATGCAAAAGATACACCATACCTGGTTTTTTGCCCATAGTGAACATAAACTCTTTGGGAAAAGAAAGGGTAGTCAGGGTATATGCATAAAATGCAAGATGTTGTAATTAGAGAAACACAAATGACCTAACACATGTTTCATGCTTCCTAGCAAGGTTTTGATGATAATGCAAAATTATCTCATCCAATTCGTGGTCGTAAGTGAAAACTTAGTGAAAGACTGGTGTTTTCTTGTGAACTATGAATTCATCAGGTTTCACTATGTGCTTAAATATTATGACAAACTAGTATAATAGCAAGCTATTAGAAAGAGACCTAAACCAATTTGATTGCCATTTCTTCCTCAAGCCAAGACATAGAGAGGTCCCTAAACTAATTAGATTGCCATTTCTTCCTTAAGCCAGAGGTTTCACTTTGAGCTCAAAGATCATGACAAGTTTGGATATTAGCAAGCTACTCCCTACAGTACTAGAGAGCACTAGACCTATTAGATTGCCAAGTCTTCCTCTAGCCAAGATACAAAACGATTATGAAATTCCATGATACCCAAAAGGAAACCAGTTATTTAAGAAGTGATCTTCCTAACACATGTAACATGTTTGATGCCTCCTAACAATAATTTGATGGTCATAATACCATATCTCATCCAATTCGTGGTTTTCTTAAGTGTAAATTTAACGAAAGGGTGGACCTCCAAGGCTTTGATCTTGTGGTAAGAGCATTGCGTATGATGTATGGGTTAGGCACACATCATGGGTTCGAACCCTGCCATAGACAAAAACCCATTATTTAAATGGAGAAGAGCAGAGGGGTGGCCCATTATCTACTGAGTTTCGAACCATGTGATATTGGCCCTCAGAGATCTCTCGGTTATATATAAATGCAAATCCTTAATGAAAGGGTGGTTTTCTCTTGTGAATTCATTAGGTTTTACTCTGAGCTTAGAGATTATGACAAGTTAGGATTTTATCAAGCTATTTTTTTATAGAAGGAAATTTTTTATCAATGTTATAAATATATTATATTATGGATGTTCATTTAGTACTCTGTTATAAATAAGCTTCCTGAAAAAGCTTATCCATATGGGACTCCGTCGTAAATATGTTTATCTATTTAGTACTCTATTGGAAATAAGCCTCCTGAAGAAGCTTATCACTTCGGTACTCGGTTATGGATAAACATTACCCACGGTAGAAGATTATCCATATCGGGTACAATAAGCTTATCCTTTCGATATTCCGTTATGGATAAACATTACCCCCGGTAGAAGATTATCCATACCGGGTACAATAAACTTATCCTTTCGATACTCCGTTATGGATAAACATTACCCCCGGTAGAAGATTATCCATACCTGGTACAATAAGCTTATCCTTTCGGTACTCCGTTATGGATAAACATTACCCCCAGTTGAAGATTATCCATATCTGGTACAGTAGCAGCTTACACAGCAGCTTGCAGTAGCAGCTTACACAGCATCTTCCTTTCTTCTATAAATAGAGGAGATTTCAGTTTATTAAGTACATAAGTTTGAAGGTGAATAATATATCGGTTTCTCTCTATATTTGTCTTCACATTATAGTCTTTATTTTATAACGCGTTATCAGCACGAGACTCTGTCATCTCGAGCAAATACTTTGAAAGTATCAGAGGTACGAACTTTCTTTTTCTAAATAATGTCAAATCTCTCTAAACTTGAATTTGTAGCCCTGGATATATCGGGCAAAAGCTACATGTCTTGGGTGCTTGATGCTGAAATTCATCTTGATGCGATGGGTCTGGCAGACACCATTAAGGACAAAAATCAAGCATCAAACCAAGACCGTGCCAAAGCAATGATATTCCTACGCCATCACCTTGATGAGGGCCTAAAAATGGAATATCTTACTGTTAAAGATCCGGTCATACTGTGGAATTATTTGAAAGATAGATATGACCACCTGAAGATGGTCGTTCTTCCACAGGCACGTTATGATTGGACTCATCTAAGGCTACAAGATTTTAAATCTATAAGTGAGTATAATTCTGCTATGTTCAGAATTATTTCCCAATTGAAATTATGTGGTGATAATATTACTGATCATGATATGTTGGAGAAAGCTTTCACCACTTTTCATGCCTCGAATATGCTCCTGCAACAGCAATATCGAGAGATGGGATTCAAAAAGTATTCTGAACTTATCTCACATCTTGTAGCCGAGCAACATAATGGGCTATTAATGAAAAACCATGAAAGCCGACCTACTGGTTCTTGTCCATTCCCTGAAGTGAATGAGACGAACTTCCACCAAGCTAAGCGTGGAAGGGGTTGTGGCCCCAGTAATGGTCATGGCCGTGGTCGGGGAAGAAACTTTAATCATGGTAATAATAATGCACCAAAGAACCCTCCTCACCACCAGCAGTGGAAAAAGAAGGAACAAAAGCATGAAGCGGTGCAAGCACCAAATGCAGAAAATGCATGCTATTGATGTGGAGGAAAAGGGCCAAAGCACCTGGTTGAGCTTCACCAAGCCTCCCTGAAGAAGACAGAGAAAAATGCTGAAGCAAATTTTATTTCTGAACTCTGAAGATAATTTAGACTTCATGCATTTGGATGTAGCTGATTACTTTGCACTCCCAGAAGGAGAAGCAAGTCATGTAATCGGTGGCGAATCTGTAGAAATGTAAATATTTTAATTTTTGTTGTTTGTAATAGATAGTATGGTTATGTAATTGTTGTACATAAATAAAAGTTATGCTTTGATAATGATGTTTACTATAATATATTTTATTTATGTCACTTTGAAGAATATGGATATTTCTCAAATTATGTTTGGATCAAAGACAAATCATGAAGATATTTGTATAATTGATAGTGGAACAACTCATGCCATATTCAAGGATCAGAAATACTTTTCTTATTTACATAAGTAAAAAGCAAATGTTTCAACAATTTCTGGTAATATAAGTTTGATTGAAGGTTCCGGAAAAGCCATTATATTTCTGTCTAAGGGAACAAAACTTATTATAGACAATGCATTGTTCTCCTTCAAGTCCCAAAGAAACTTGTTGAGTTTTATAGATATCCGCCGAAATGGGTATCATGTTGAGACAATAGATGAAATGAACGTGGAATATCTTTGTATTACAAAGAATATTTCTGGCCAAAAATGCATTATAGAATAGTTACCAACTTTATCTTCTGGCTTATACTATTCAAAAATTAGTACCGTTGAAGCACACTCTCTCGTAAACCAGAAGTTTACGGATTCAAATACTTTTGTGCTTTGGCATGGCCGTTTGGGCCATCCTGGATCAATAATGATGAGACGAATTATTGAAAATTCGAGTGGGCATCCATTAAAGAACCTGAAGATTCTTACAAATGATGAATTTTCTTGTGATGCTTGTTATCAAGGCAAAATGATCAGTAGACCAGTAGACCATTACCAATGAAGGTTGGCATTGAATCCCCTGCCTTTCTAGAGCGTATACATGGGGATATATGTGGACCTATTCACCCACCAAGTGAGTTTTTAGATATTTTATGGTCCTATAGATGCATCTTCAAGACGGTCTCGTGTGTGCCTACTGAGATAATAGCTATTCATGAAGCAAGTAAGGTCCTGTGTGTAGAATAATTTTGGTGAAATGTGCTTCGTTCTATCTCCTTTTATAAATCCCCCTTCAATTGGGCTATGCATGCAGCATTGTCTTCGTGTAAAATTATGGGTCCTAATAGATGCATCTTCAAGATGGTCTCCTTGTGCCTACTATCATCTGGCAACCTGGCGTTTGCAAAGCTACTAGCCCAATTAATTCGACTAAGGGCGTAATTCCCAGATTATCCTATAGAGGCTATTCGCCTTGTCATCTCAAGCTTTTGATGATTATTGTCTATCAGTTGGAATAAAAGTTGAACATCCCGTAGCTTATGTTCATACTCAAAATGGCCTTGCAGAGTCATTTATTAAACGCCTGCAATTGATAGAAAGACCACTACTTATGAAAACGAAATTGCCCACTACTGTTTGGGGTCATGCTATCTTGCATGCAGCATCACTTATCCGTCTCAGGCCAACACATTATAATAAATATTCTCCGTCACAATTAGTTTTTGGTCATGAACCAAATATTGCCCATCTACGAATTTTTGGATGTGCTGTATATGTGCCAGTAGCACCACCAAAGCGCAGTAAGATGGGACCACAGAGAAGGATAGGAATATATGTTGGGTTTGAATCACCCTCTATTATTCGCTATCTTGAACCATTGATAGGAGATTTATTTACTGCTCGATTTGCAGATTGTCGGTTTGATGAAACAATTTTCCCACAATTAGGGGGAGAGAAAAAGGAAATCAAAAGAGAAATTGTGTGGAGAGTTTCATCATTATCTCACTTTGATCCACGTACCCCTATATGTAATCAGGAGGTCCAGAAGATCATCCATCTACAGAATATAGCAAATCAAATGCCAGACGCATTTACTGATTTGAAAAGGATAACTAAGTCACATATCCCTGCAGAGAATGTGCCTATCCGAATTGATGTCCCAGTAGGACCATCTACTAGCATGAGAGCTATGAACCTAAAGCACGCCTGAAGCGTGGTAGGCCTTTGGGTTCTAAGGATCGAAATCCTCGAAAAAGAAAATCGACAAATGATCAAAACGATACTATGAAGGGATCTCCTGAAGAGACCCAAAATCTGATTAATTCTGAGATTCCTGAAGAAATCAATGAACCCGAAGCTCATGTGAGTGAGGAACTTTTAATAAGTTCGACCGGTGATGGGATTAATTTAAATCGATCTAAAATAGTGGTGGATAATATTTTTGCATATAATGTTGCACTTAATATTATGCAAGATAGTGAGGATCTTGAACCTCGATCTGTCAAAGAATGTCGACAAAGATCTGATTGACCAAAATGGCAAGAGGCAATTCAATCGAAATTGAAGTCACTTGCTAAAAGAGAGGTCTTTGGACCAGTAGTCCAAACACCTGCTGATATAAAACCAGTTGGTCATAAATGGGTTTTTGTACGAAAAAGGAATGATAAAAATGAAGTTGAAAGATACAAAGCTCGCCTTGTTGCACAAGGATTCTCACAACAACCTGGAGTCGATTGTGATGAAACATATTCACCTGTTATGGATGCCATAACATTTCGATATCTCATCAGTTTAACACTACATGAAAAGCTTGAAATACATCTGATGGATGTAGTTACAAATTATCTGTACGGTTCACTTGATAATGAAATTTATATGAAAATCCCTGAAGAATTTAAAATGCCTGAAGCGAATTCAAAATCTCAGGAAATGTATTCAATTAGATTACAAAGATCTTTGTACGGTTTAAAGCAATCTGGGCGTATGTGGTATAATCGCCTTAGTGAATATTTGCTGAAAGAAGGTTACATAAATGATGTTATTTGTCCATGTATTTTTATAAAGAAAATGGCATCAGAATTTGTTATACTTGCTGTTTATGTTGATGACATAAATCTTGTTGGAACTCCAGAAGAGCTCCAAAAGGCAATTGAATATCTTAAGAAAGAATTTGAGATGAAAGATCTTGGAAAGACAAAACTTTGTCTTGGTCTGCAAATTGAACATTTAGCAGACGGGATCTTTATCCATCAATCTGCATATACAGAAAGGATCTNTATTAATTTACTAGCAAGATATAGTTCTTCTCCTCCACGGAGACATTGGAACGGGATTAAGCATATATTGCGATATTTAACGAGAACTCTTGATATGGGTTTGTTTTATGCTAACAAAGATAGTGCAGATCTTGTTGGTAATGCAGATGCAGGTTATTTATCTAATCCCCCTAAAGCTCGATCTATGACCGGGTACGTATTTACATATGGAGGTACTGTCATATCATGGCGCTCCACAAAGCAATCTATTGTTGCTACTTGTTCAAATCATGCTGAGATAATAGCTATTCATGAAGCAAGTAGGGAATGCGTATGGTTGAGTTCACTAATTCATTTTATTCGAGAAAGATGTGGTTTGGAATGTGAGAAAAGACCCACAATTTTACACGAAGACAATGCTGCATGCATAGCCCAATTGAAGGGGGGATTTATAAAAGGAGATAGAACGAAGCACATTTCACCAAAATTATTCTACACACACGATCTTCAGAAAAATGGTGACATTGATGTGCATCCGTTCAAGTGACAATCCGGCAGATTTATTCACCAAATCTTTGCCAACTTCAACTTTTGAGAAGATGGTATACAAGATTGGAATGCAGAGACTCAAATATTTGAAACAAGGTTTTCATCAAGTGGAGTAAAATACACGCTGCACTCTTTTTTTCTTACTAAGGTTTTTTCCCAAAGGGTTTTTCTTATAAGGTTTTTAATGACGCACCTAGCAATGCGTATTACCAAATATGTGTACTCTTTTTCCTTCACTAGAATTTTAACCACGGGGTTTTTCCTAGTAAGGTTTTATTGAGCCACATTATCTTTTAATGAACATCCAAGGGGGAGTGTTATAAATATATTATATTATGGATGTTCATTTAGTACTCTGTTGTAAATAAGCTTCCTGAAGAAGCTTATCCATATGGGACTCCGCCGTAAATATGTTTATCTATTTAGTACTCTATTGGAAATAAGCCTCCTGAAGAAACTTATCACTTCGGTACTCGATTATGGATAAATATTACCCACGGTAGAAGATTATCCATACCGGGTACAATATGCTTATCCTTTCGATACTCCGTTATGGATAAACATTACCCCGGTAGAAGATTATCCATACCTGGTACAATAAGCTTATCCTTTTGGTACTCCGTTATGGATAAACATTACCCCGGTAGAAGATTATCCATATGTGGTACACTAGCAACTTACACAGCAGCTTCCTTTCTTCTATAAATAGAGGAGATTTCAGTTTATTATGTACATAAGTTTGAAGTTGAATAATATATCAGTTTCTCTCTATACTTGTCTTTACTTTATAATCTTTATTTTATAACAACCAGGCTATTTCTGGACACCAAAATTTGCATTTAGCATATAAATCTAGTGAACAAGTTTTCAGTGACAGCTAGGATATGAAAGTAAGATTTACTCATTGCCATGGGCAGTACACAGATTTTTGGACCATAAAAAAGGATTAAATATGAATGATACCAAGTATTTTGAACATTACAGATGTTGCATCTTCTAACAGATTCAGTGTGTATAGATATGAATAGCGAGATTATATGCGTTATCGAAGTGTAGATAGTAACGTATTAAAGTCGATTGTTCTTGAAAATATATTTTGGAACTATACCTTGATGTGTTCTACAGTTACCATCTCTTTGACCTGTTAACATTTTACGAACATCGTTACAATTTTAATTACTGGGGGGACTCTACTTTGTTAACATGCATATGTTTGTTAGACCCTATTGAGTATACATGTACTGGAGCTACATCCTAAACCTGCTCAATTGCAACTGTTATTGCATAAGACACAATTCTTTTACTCTATCCACTCGATGCAGGATAGTTCAGCCAATTACCCTCTCTATTGCCATCCCGAAATAACCATCCATGCCACTTTTACAAGCAGTTACAAGAATTTCTTGAAAAGGTAAGTCTATCATGTATTAATATATCAGCACTAAGGTAGTGCTTGTCAGTTAAATGGTCTAGGTGCGTGCAAGCTGGCCTGGGTACCACTCTTATTAAAAGAAAAAAGAAAGATAGTGCTGGTCAGAAAAAAAAGAAGAAGGAATATACCCCTTGTACAAGAGAAGCATTCATTTACATAAGTGCTATTCAGTCTGATACTGAACCAATGAACTCTATTGTATCGTCCTCTGCCATGTATATTCTGTAATCTAGGCTTTAGAGAGCTAAGAAAGACACACTCTTCAACATATGTACACTCGAAAGGCACCTGTGTTTTTTTCGTTCCAAATGGTCCAGCACAAGCAAGCAGGGTGAACTGGTCATATTCCACTGAAAATTTAATAATTCACTCTAGCTCACACAAAAAAAATTTGAACTACACTGTAAAAGGGGCGGGCAAAGTAGCTTTTGGAATCAAGCTTGTTGCTAGTTCCATCTCTTTTTAACTTGTACAACTTTTTAGAGAAGGATATCTATGGGGCTAAGAGATGTTGCAGCATATCTTAGTTTTTTTTTAAATATAGCAGCATATCTTAGTTTTCTTGCGACTGTTTCTTTCAAAAATAACCTCGTGTTGCTTCCTGTTTCTTCTGTTGTACAGGTAAGAACTTCAAAACTGGGCAATTTTTTTTTTTGTTTTTTTTTGTGGTCCTGGCTGATGAATTTTGTCTGCCATGTGGATCCTGAAATAGAAGTTCAATAGACCTGTCTTATAGATGATCTTTTCTTGTTATGCAAATTAGATACATAGGTAGGAAGGACCAAACAACCATATAGCTGTTTCTGGGCATTTTAGGTACTTTAGGGTCTTCAACACATTTCCAGCTCTTCTTGTACACAGAGAAATAGAATGTAAAAATCACTTTGGACAGTGCAATTCAAAGAAAATCTATGTTTATTATATTCCTTACTCTGAAATTACAATTGTGGTTTAGCTTTATCTATGACACAAATTATATTAGATTTTTTTTCCTGATTGCCATCTATGCTGATGCTAAACTTTCAACAAATTCATCGAATGGTTAAGAGCAATATCTAGTATTGCATGTTTTCATATAGATTAATGTTTGCTCAAAAAATGTTACACATCTTACGAGTACAAAACAATATAAATAAATTCCGGGATAATCATAGCAAATCGTAATAATCCGTTGGACCAAATGAAAGAAACGAAAATAAGAACTCAGAATTAGGGGGAGAAGCATTAGAAACATCTATTGATAATATTTGTTTGGTCTGCCTCTCCATGAAGAGGTTCAGAGCCTTACAATGGTGTTTTTCTCTTCCCATAAGAGGGGTATATTTTCTCGTTTCTCTCTCCTCTCACTAGTGATGAAGAAGCCCCCTCTTTCTAGGGTCTCTTCTCTTGGTATTTATAGCTGTGGGCTTCGTGAGCTGTCAATAAGTGGCCGTGACCACGTTGAGATCTCGCCTTTATAGTGGCGGATAGGCCAGGGCCTTTGTTGACCGAACCAGGGGCGGGTTGAACGTCGTCAATTATTAGTGGTCGTGCCACTAATTAATCTTGAATTAACTTAAAACGGGATTAGCCTCGTTAATTATCGTGGGGTCGGATTCTGACCCATACAATTAAAAAGACTAAAACTATGTTATACGATTAATTGAACATGATAAGTAGGTGATATCTTTAGTTTAATGTAACAACTTCTCAAGCTGATTCCCAGGGAGAAATTCAAAAATAGCCAGATTTACCACTGGTCGTTGAAAAATAGCCAATTTTTAAAAGTCATCGAAATTTAGCCACTTTAAATCTGAGCGAAAACACTGTTCAAAATCCGAAAAATACGCCCGTAAATTTTACGGGAGTTCCAGCATAGTATGCTTGAACTCCCGTAAAATTTACGGGAGTTCCAGGATAACTATGCTGGAACTCCCGCAAATTTTACGGGAGTTCCAGCAAGTATAATTGTCCAGTATAATATATTGGAGTTTGGAGCACTGGTGCTCCAGTCTCCCGCAAATTTTACAGGAGTTAGCAAAGTATACCGGTCCAGCATAATATGCTGGAGAAAGTACACAAATGCACCAGAACTCCCGTATATTATACTGGACCGGTCCCCGTTGCAGCAAAATAGTGGCTATTTTTCATTGACTTGATAAACGCTGGCTATTTTTCATTGACCAGTATGAAAACTGGCTATACCATGATATTTTAACTGATTCCCACGCCAAAATTTTGATTTCAAGCCGTTGGTGTAAGATATTTAGATTAAAACAAGATCAGCGCATAAATTAAGACCATATACAAACATTAAAAATATTAGGTATGTATTTCCACATCCATTTGTCTATCGACGTGAAAGCATTCCAGGTGCTAAGATTAGATCAAAAGTCTTCTTATGACCTTTATCAAGATATTTCATGGGCTGTTCCTAAAAGTGATAAGTGTATAGGGAACCTAATACTACTTTACCTAATGGACCATCCTATGAAAGCGACCTGACAGACATTAGGCCTACCACTGAAATCTAATGGAGCAATTTTTACTCGAGGTAAAATGGTAATTTGTTCCGATCAACCGAACATTAGAAAAAAATCTTAGTCGAACCCAGTTACCACATCCATCCACATATAGTTACTATTATTAGTTACTCCAGTGCCAATCATATTAACACTCGGTTTCGATCATTGTTCCCTATTATTTTATAATGTATTGTATTGTATCGTATCGTTTTATGAATATAATGTTTGGATAGATTGTATTGTTTGTTGTTGTTGTTTGGTTTGACTGTATCGTACTGTATTGTAACTGATAAGTTTACTAAAATATCCTCAATTGTTTAAATATAAAATTTATAAAAAATTATGTATAAAAATAATTTTAAAAAACAAAACAGAACAAGGCAAACATCTTAAGAAAGCAGAACAAAGAGCAAGACAGAAGAAGGCAAAACAAAGGAGCACAACTAATTAGAATTGAGTTAAAAGCAAATTAGGAGAAAAAATAAAACAGAAGGCAGCAAAATACCTCTAACGTTGGCGGTAGAAGTTCTAGAAAAAAATAAAGTAGATTATAGGTTGGAGATTTGGAGTTAATATAGAAAAAAAAAGATTGGGTAAAATAGAATTGTGGAGTAATAAGTTAGGGTATAATTGGAAAAAAATAGGAAACAATCCCACCACACCAAATCAGTTGTTTCAAAAAAAGGGACTTTTATTATTTCAAAACAATTGATTTAACAATACAATACAACCAAAAATGAAAGATTTTTAAAGTCACTATCCTATGGCATGTTACATATATACTGGAGAATATTGTTCATCCTCCAGGATGGATTTAAAGTGAATCGAATATCCATTTTACTTATTTATCAAGTTCATTGAAAATGTTCTTTATTTTTATTTATTGTTGTTTGACTTTTCACCCGCTTTAGGACCGACTAATCCGGATTTGTACCGAAGCGCTCCCTACTGTAGCTCTATCCCTACCAAGATTTGTAATTTACAAATATTGTCAGTATAATTTTTTTTACACTATCAATATATTTAACACGTCATTGCAGTTAACTTGTCTTATATATTTTCCAAAGTACTAATTTTACTTTTTATGAATGATGACTTGTAATTAATTTTGAGGTGATCTAATGTAGAACAATTGTATAGAAGTTAAACTCAATAAAAGAACGCGGGAAAGAAATAATAAAAACACTTAAAAAAAATATCCTCAACAAGTACTTGTGAGAATGCTCAATAATTTAATAATAACAAGTGAAAAGTTACAGAGGCCAAGGCCAAGGTAGACTATTACATCATATATATAGAGCTCTTATTTGCCTTTCTCACGTCTTATTCATGTGAAATAACACTAGCTTTTTCCTACTTGCTATAACCTCTCCAAAGCAATTTGGTCTTGCATGGGATTCCTGCAAATTGACATTCCCAACAGACAAAACATAAGTACATTCGGATAAAATTAAAAGATTTGTTATCTATTACAAAATAAAATTGATAAATAATTCTGCTAATGGCAAGATAATTCCTTCATAAGTTATTCAGTTTGACAACACAAAAAACTCTTTTCTTTGTTTTTCCCCCCTTTTTTCATCAGATTTAAAAAGGCTTTGGTTGTATAAGAAAGCAACTTTAGGGGGCATTTGCATATATACCTGTTTTTTGGGTCACGTTTTAACTTGTACCCGCTTTGCAAAAAAAATTGCAAGCATACCCACTTTTTTGCGTAACTTCAGCATACGGACCTGAAGTAACAAAGGCAATCACGCAAACTTCAGCATTCTAGTAGACGAGTCTGAAGTAGCAAGAATTGCTGAACCAGGTGTGCTGAAGTTTTTGTTTGTAATTGCTGAACTTAAGCATGTTTTAGCTGAAGTTTTTTTTACGTAAACTTAGTGTTGGCAGAAGTTTTTGTTTGTAATTGCTGAACTTAAGCATTCTAGTAGCTGAAATTTTGTTCTCTATTTGCTGAAGTTTTTGTTTGTAATTGCTGAACTTAAGCATGTTTTAGCTGAAGTTTTTCACGTAAACTTAGTATTGGCTGAAGTTTTTGTTTGTAATTGCTGAGTATTTGCTGAAGTGTTTGTTTGTAATTGCTGAACTTAAGCATGTTTTAGCTGAAGTTTTTCACGTAAACTTAGTGTTGGCTGAAGTTTTTGTTTGTAATTGCTGAACTTAAGCATTCTAGTAGCTGAAGTTTTTGTTCTCTATTTGCTGAACTTCAGCATGTTTTAGCTGAAGTTTTGTTCTATATTTGCTGAACTTCAGCATTCTTAGAGCTGAAGTTCTAAAACAACAATGACAAGTTGTCAATAAGATCCAGTTGGGATCTTAATGACTTAAAAACCACTGCCAATAACTCTGACTTACAAACTACTGCCAATTTATTCTTCACAAACAAGACTCTCGAAAAAAATGTTAAGAGTTACTAGTAATATCACTAGTAGGTTCTCTGATAAAATGAGTGCAAGTGTGCCGGTTGAGATGGGCACAAGGGGAACTGTAGGATCACTTTTGAAGAAAGAGATTGAGTATTTCAAAAGACTTGAATTGGATTGTAAAAGAAGTTGCAATAATAAATACCAGAAGAGTACAGTGGAAATAGATGCTGGTGGTGGTGGCAGTTCTTGGCCTAGTTTGTTGAGCTGAACTTCAACAAACAATGGGATTTGATCATACTGGTAAAGATTATTTTGTCTCTGTTGCTCCATTTTTGCATATTCTTGACTTCTCTCAAAAGGGGTATACGTATCACTATAGAAGAAGAAGAAAACGAAGGAGGAGAAGGAGGAGTAGAAAGAGAGCTGGAGTTGTTTAAAAAGTGAGTACAAGTTAAAACTTTTTAAAAAAATGGGTATAGGTTAAATGGGGGTGACCAAATAGGGCGTCCGATGCAATTTTTACCAACTTTAGGGGTGTGTTTGGTATAAGGTAAAATATTTTCCATGGAAAATGTTTTTCAAGAAAACAATAACTAAAGTAATTGTTTAGTTATCTAAAAAATAAAAGGCAGTTTATCATAAAAATATCGATGTAATTTTTTTTTAGAAACTTACACTCTTTATATGTAGAAGATTATATATACTCACGTTTCACAGTTGGTGTTCATGGAGACAGGGAAGCCAACTTTGATTTTAGAAGCAGTGGCAAGTTGGCTAAGGAACTTGTCTTGTACCCCAGCAAAGTTCTTTACACCAGCCTTAAGGCATCTGCAGATAGCCTCCTTGTCATCTACAGACTTCACACTTTGTGCCAACTGTTGCAGCCCATTGCAACACGGCGCCGACGGCTTTGCGTCCTTCCCTGTGGCAAAGGAAATTGTATACAGTCGAAGGCTCGAGGGGACGCCTTGAGCCCGAGTTGAAGATGGATCGAGTTCGAGCTCGATGGACTAGGCTCGAGCTCGAAGGCAGAATACAAGGTTCGAAGAACTAAGTGTCGGATGAACGTCGAAGCCTAATGTGACTGGCCTCGAGATAATGCCAGTGTGGATTTTGTAACAGAATGAGCAAGATTTCTGCCACGTCCCCAAGATTGTGGCGTTAATCCCGGAATAGATTTGTACGAATCCGTATTAGGCGGTTAGACAGCTGTCCCAATAAGATTCTTTGCTGTAAATAAAAATGTACCTTATTTAGGGTTCCCCTATTATATAAAGGGGATCCCAATCATGTGTAAACATCATCTAATCATTGGCAAAGAGTATACTCTCTACTTTTCTCTCATTGTTCATCAGAATTGTCCTTTAACTTTATTGTTCTTGATTCATCTCGAGGTCACTGAGCTCGAGGTCGATACTGCTTAAGTAACACTGGTTTGTTTCACTTATTTCCTTCATCTATACTTTATACTTCTTGATTATTAATTGGTATTGAACTAAATCACATATCTTTAAAACCACAAATCAAATTTAATTGTTACTCGTATTTTCGAGGTAAACAGTTTGGCGCCCACCGCGGGGCTAAAGATAATAGTGATTATTTCATTACTGATTCTCATAACACACCTTATTTTTACACTTTTTCTTGTCAAGAATTTTTTGATTCTCAGGATTAAACATGTCAAACTCGCAAAATGCACCTGTTCATGACAACGAAGGTCTTGGATTTCATGAGGAAAACAACAATGCAGGGTAGGTGTACCACCAATAAGCCCTGGGGAAGTGCCAAATGTGGAACCAGTTGATGTTAGTTCGCACATTGCTATGAATGCAGATTTAGGCACAGACCCTGGAGGAAGTGTACGCAGGGAAGCCCGATCTGGGGGCCAAGGAACACAAGGTATAGGAGATGGGGGAGTCAGCCTCCAAGTGATATTCGAGATGCTACAAGCTCAGCAGATTGCCATCGCTCAACTTCAGAGTCAGAATAAAACTCTGAGCATTGCGGAACCAGAAAACACTCGACATGCTGAACCGACACCAGAGAGGTCAAATAAAAGTGGCTCAGGGACTGATCCCACCATTATGAGGATGCTCGAAGAGCTCACCGAGAGGATCGAGTCCGAGGAAAAGAAGGTTGAAGACAATGACAAAAAGATGGAAACTTATAACTCCTATATCGATCAAATACCGGGAGCTCCCCCGACCTTGAAGGGATTAGATGCCAAGAAATTCGTACAAAGGCCGTTCCCTCCGAGTGCGGCTCCGAAGACCATCCCAGAAAAGTTCTTTATGCCCGATATACCTAAATACAATCGAACCTTTGACCCAAATGAACACGTTACTTCTTACACGTGCTCCATAAAGGGAAATGACTTGGAAGATGACACAATCGATTCTGTACTGCTGAAGAAGTTCGGGGAGACTCTATCGAAGGGTGCCTTAATATGGTATCATAACTTACCCTCTAATTCTATTGATTCGTTTGTTATGCTTGCAGATTCTTTTGTAAAAGCACACGCCGGAGCCATTAAAATTGCAACAAGGAAGTCAGACCTTTTCAAGGTAAGGCAGAAAAATAACGAGATGCTCAGGGAATTCGTATCTCGGTTCCAAGCGGAGAGAATGGATTTTCCTCCGGTCACCGATGACTGCGCTGTTCAAGCTTTCACTTAAGGTCTTAACACTGAGAGCTCCATAGCTTTACGGTGGTTGAAGCAATGTTTAATCGAGTACCCGGCTATCACTTGGGCCGACGTACATAATCGGTGTCAGTCGAAGGTTAGGATCGAAGATGAGCAACTAGGGGCTCCTTAAGGGTCCGTTTATCCTAGCAAGACCATGGATAGGATTAAAAGGAATATTGATCGAGAGTCGAGGTCCAATGGAGATCGATATCAACCATACAACGGAGACCATAGAGGCAGCGGTTCTGGGCGAAGCTTCGCACGAAATGAGAAGAGAAATGATCGAGGTCCAAATTCACGGGGATTTAATGTCGAGGAAGATCGAGTTAAATATCCAAAATCCGAATGAAGGTACGACCCCATTCCAATACTTTCTATTCTTTCGACTAACACTTGCAGGCCATCGACAAGGATCGACACGAAGTTTTGGATCTTAAAGCACGCATTGCACTCTTTTTCCCTTAGATCGGATTTTGTCCCAAATGGGTTTTCCGGCGAGGTTTTTAACGAGGCAACCGTTGTTCGTGCTAACTTAGAGCAATTCGTGACAGCGGGGTCTCGATAGGAAAATGTTGTAAGGGCCAAACGGTCGGATGAACCGTGCCCGTGTAGGTCACTTCGACCCTAACATCAAGCATGCGCGCATGTACAATCATCTATTGGGAGAAGTATTTGTCCTTGCCGATATCCCCTGCCTTTAGAAAAATTTCATATTTTATATTCTTGATCTATTGTATAAACATGCTTAAGGGCCGACCACGACGGAAATTCGAACAACTGACCCTATGCTTGAGGACTGCCGTCCCAAAAACAAACAGAATCAAACTACTAACATTTCGAGACCATAAGACCTTGAAGGCAATCCTCGACTTTACGGGCCACGACCACCCCACTCGGGACTGACACTTCGGGCAAGCTTGAAGTGAAACAGAAGATAAGCCCAAAGGGTAAGTTCCAAACTAAAGAGGCTACGACGAAATTAACGTGGATCGGAGACTCCCAAAATTCGTACCAAATACAAAAGCCCAAGGGCTATCTTAACCCGAGTTTGAGCAAACTCTCACTCGGGGACTATCTATGAAGCCTAGGGGCTAACTTTACTTCGAGTTCGAGAAAATCTTCACTCGATCATAAAAGCCCAAGGTCTATCTTGACCCAAGTGTGAGCATACCTCAAACGCTCGGGGACTACCTACTCGAGCTATCTAAGTTTGAAATAATAAGACCTCAAAGAGGCACCCCCCGATATACATGCCAAGGCCGTCAGACTCGGGGACTAACATTTTGAACAAGTTCGAAATGTTATTGGGAAACAAGTCCAAGAGACATACCCGAAGGCTACGGCCAAACTAAAGACTACGGTCATATAAAATGGCTACGGCCGAAATAATGCGGCTCGAAGACGTCCGACTTCTACCATAAAATAAAGGCCTTCAATTACTTTGAAAAACTGATTAAATGAGGCTACCCTCGGCAAAAGCAAATGATAAAGGGCTTCGATAACATCAGCCTTCAAAGGAGCCTCAAGAGGTATTCGATTATCGTTACACAAACAAAATTACAAATAAGGTTCCGATCGATTGAACCTTCGAAAAACCCAACGGGTACGAAAAAAACACATGCTAAGGCATAGAAAAATTTTCACTAAATTTTTTAGCCGAAAAGAGGGAAAAATTATAGCCGTTTTTAGAGGCCAAATTGGCCCGACCTAAAAGAGCATAAGGGCCGACCTAAAAGAGCCTAAGGGCCGACCTAAAAAGAGCCTAAGGGCCGATCTAAAGAGCCTAAGGGCCATTATACAAAAGCCTACGGGCTAACTTTAATTTGAGTTTGAGCAAGCACTCACTCGATTACCGAGCCCAAGGGATACCCCAGTTCGAGAAGATTCTCACTCGAGGACTATCAATGAAGTCTAAGGGCTAACTTTATTTCGAGTTCTAGCTAGCACTCACTAGATTATCGAGTCCAAGGGCTACCCGAGTTCGAGAAAATTCTCACTTGGGGACTATCTATGAAGCCTAAGGGCTAACTTTATTTCAAGTTCAAGAAAACCCTCACTCGACTATAAAGCCCAAGGGCTACCTTACCTTATCGATTGATTGGCCTATGATCTACTCAAACTCAAGTTCAAATGGTCATTCGAAGTCCTTTGATCAAAAACGGTCGAGGGCTGTACTTATTGTCGAGCGTTACCATCTCAAAACTGTGGACATTCAAAAGAAATTTTATGCTAAGGAACTCTGACCCGCACAAAAGAGTAACGGATTCAGAAGCCATGAAAGGATAAAAGCTTTGTATAAATCTATTTACAAGGGCTATAGGTCACGGTCAAGAATGCCCCACAAGGGTCGATCAACCTCAAAAGCGAACAATAATGAAGAACACGAAACCTAAGTAGCGAGGTCCTTATCGGCAGAAGCATTTTCACCCTCAGGATCTTCTCCACCGCCAGACTCACTAGAATTCTCGGAGTCATCCTCGGGAAAGGCCAGCTTCCAAACTTTTGTTTCCTCAGTCGCTTACGCCATGATGATGATGTCGTAACAGATCGGGGTAAGGATCAAGGGCTCAATTCGTTTCTTATCATCATACTCTAAGAAACGCGGTGACTATGTGTATACGGTTAAAATCGGGTATGCCCAATTTCCTGGGCTCGAGGGGACGCCTTGAGCCCGAGTTGAAGATGGATCGAGTTCGAGCTCGATGGACTAGGCTCGAGCTCGAAGGAAGAATACAAGGTTCGAAGAACTAAGTGTCCGATGAACATCGAAGCCTAATGTGATTGGCCTCGAGATAATGTCGTTGTAGATTTTATAACAGAATGATCAAGATTCCTGCCACGTCCCCAAGATCATGGCGTAAATCCCGGAATAGATTTGTACGAATCCGTACTAGGAGGTTAGACAGTTGTCCCAATAAGATTCTTTGCTGTAAATAAAAATGTATCTTATTTAGGGTCCCCTATTATATAAAGGGGACCCCAATCATATGTAAACATCATCTAATCATAGGCAAAGAATATACTCTCTACTTTTCGCTCAT